AATGTGGTTACTGTTGATGAATTGAGACAAGTATTTCCTGTCCTTGATATGGTTGATCTTGAATGACCACCAAAGACTACGGTATTGAGTACAGGAGTGAGCTAGAATCTGTCATTCTCTAGAACCCAATATCTCAACATTCTCTTCTTTCCCCTTCCTTCCAATAGTGTCTTCCATTCATCATTGGAGGCCATCGCCAGTTGTCCTGATTTATATCTTGCCACTGGACCTAGATGGCTCTGGAGGAAAAAGTGAGGTTGGTGACTTTGCACAGCCCTTCCTCACTTGAATCCAAGTCACTTGCAAGTCATGGCATCATCTTCCTGATGTCATGGTCCTCTTAGAGAATGAAGGAGAAACAACAATCTTCTAGCTCTCACTGACACCTGGATCCTTGCTGATTTATTTCTATTTCTCTGGTAACCCTTCCCATTATTGGCTGTGCTTTCACTCATACACACTGACTCACTGGTGGTGGCTGAGTCAGCATACTTCTTGCTGCTTATTGCCATTTCTAGACTCCTCTACCACTACCACATGGCAACCTTTTGTCCTTTGAGGTGCATTCCATTTAGATTGAATCTCCTTGAGGGTAAAGACTGGTTTTTGCCTCCATCTCAGCTATAGCTCACATTTATATAGCACTTACTATGTGCCAGGTGCTTTGCAAACATCTCATTTGACCCTCACAACAACCCTGGGAGATAGGGACTATTATTATCTCCATTTTACAAATGAGGAAACAGGCAAACAGAAGTGACTTGTCCAGGGTCACACAGTGTCTGAGGCTAGATTTGAAATCAGGTCATCTTGACTCCAGACCCAGCACTCTATTCACTTCATCATCTAGTTGCCTTGCTACACATTGATTGGTTATAGCCTTGATCTTGTCACTATCTACAAGTGTTCCACTTTCATATTAATGAATGCCAAAATTACTTCATTTAATCATAATTTTTATCTTTTATTTTGCCTTGCAACCCCTGAGTCTGTTTTTCTTCACTGTATCCTCTAATTCTTCCACTCCTCAGCTCTTTCTCAAGCTATCACTTATGAACTGGTTAAACTCTTTTCCCTGTCTTAACTCCTTGGTGAATCAGTTCAACTGTCCTCTACATTCAAACTTATGTTACATTATCTTAGTTAAGCTTTCACTGCAGCAAAGCAGGCAATCTATTTATACTGCCCCCCTCCCCCAATTGGTTCACTATCCCAATCACCATTGTAGCTATTCCAAATCTTGTTGTCCCTCCTCAAACCTTCCATGGCAGCCCTTCCTCCACCCCCTTAGCTGGAGTCATGTTTCACCAAAAATAAAATGAGGCCATTTACTGAGAGCTCCCTCTTTTCCCTTCATCTCATCACTCAGATGTCTTCCCCCCTCTATCTTTTCCCTTACCTCTGTTTCAAATGATATGATTTTTCTCCTTCTCAAGGCAAATTTTTCTACATGTATCCTTAATCTCTTCCATACCATTTTCTCCGGAAGATAGGTCCCTTATTATCCCTACTCCCTCACTAATCTTTGAGGTGATGCAGTGGAGCACTGAGCCTGGAGTTGTAGGACCTAATTTAAATTTGACCTCAGCCACTTACTAGTTGTGTGACCCTGGACAACTCATCTAACCTGTCTCAGTTTCCTCAACTGTAAAATTGGGATAACATCACCTACCCTGCATGGTTGCTGTGGGTATCAAATGAGGTATTTGTAAAAGCACTTAACACATGCCTGGCACATAGAGGTGCTTAATAATTGCTTGTTCCCTTTGCCTTCCCTCATTTCTGATCTACTGGCTGTTTTCCTGCTCCCTACAAACATGTCCACGCCTCTTCCATCCTTAAAAAACAAAACTTGTCATGTGACCCTATCATCCTTATTAGCTATCATACCATATCTCTTCACTCATTCATAGCTAAATTCTCCAAGCTCTCTACTCAAAGCTTCCACTTCCTCTCCTCCCACTCAGTTCTAACCCCTCTGCAACCTAGCTTCTCACCAAGTCATTCAACCTAGTCTCTCCAAATTTACCAATGACCTTGTAATTGCCATATCTCAATCTTGATCCATCTCTGTAGCCTTGACACTGTCAGTCACCCTCTTTGGGATACTATCTCCACTCTAGATTTTTGTGGCATTGTTCTCTCCTTGTTCTCCTCTGATGGGTCCTTTTAAAATTTCCTTTACTGAATCTTCATCTTCACGCAAAGCACTCTGCAAACTTTTAAGTACTAAATATACATACATACACATACATATACATACATACAAAGGATGTCCACCAACCATGGTGGACCCCAGAGCTGTGTCCTGGGTTGTCTTCTCTTCTTGATCTTCTCCACCTTTTTTTTTCTTTTTTGGGTTAGGCAATGGGGTTAAGTGACTTTCCCAAGGTCACACAGCTAGTGTTATGTGTCTGAGGTCATATTTGAACTCAGGTCCTCCTGAGTGTAGGGCCCGTGTTCTATCCACTGAGCCACCTAGCTGCCCCTTCTCTTCTTCTCACACTACCTACTTGGTGATCTCATCAGTTCCCATGGGTTCAAGTATCATCTCTATGCAGATGATACCCAGATCTATATATCTGGTCCTTACTTCTCTCTCAAGTCCTGGTCTTGTGTCACCAACTGTCACTCAGACATCTCAAATTTGACATGTCCCAAACAGAATTTATTATATTCCACCCCCATGCCCAAATCTCCGCCCTTCTAATTTCCCTATTACCAATGAGGAATTCCTCTCACTCAGGTATATTCACTTAGGTATATTCCTTGACTCTACTCCATACGTCTAATCTGCAGCCAAAGCTTGTCATCCCCTTCTTTCTAATCATGGAGCTGCCACCCCTATCTCTGACATAGATTACTGCAGTAGCATAATAGGACTCCCTACCTAAACTATCTATCTCCCCACTCCAATCCATGTTCCATGCAGCTGCCAAAGTGATTAGGAATTTTCTAAAGGGCAGGTCTTATGTTAACCTAACCCAATAAATTCCAATAGCTTCCTATTACCTCCAAGCCCTTGTTCAGCTTTTAAAGATTCTCACAACATAACGACTTCCTGCCTTTCCAATATTCACTCCCTTCCATGGACTCTTCCAGCCGGTAACATTGGTCTTACTGTTCCTGTAACACACACTGACTCCATACCTTCTCACTATCTCCTATGCCTGGAATGCTCTCATCATCTTTGCCTTTTTCTTTTTTTCAGGCAACTGGGGTTAAGTGACTTGCCCAGGATCACATAGCTAGTGTCAAGTGTTTGATCTGAGGCTGGATTTGAACTCAGGTCCTCCTGACTTCAGGGCCAGTGCTCTATCCACTGTGCCACCTAGCTGCCCCCTCTTTTTTTCCCCACACTCCCCCTTTCCTACTGTTAGTGGCTTCCCCCAGAGATTAATTTACACTGTATCTCTCCTGGAAGTGTAATTTTTAAAAAACATTCTCTCCTCTTACAACGTGACCTTGAGGGCAAGGACCAGCTTTTTGCCTTAATAAATGCTTGTTGAGTCTTTTAGGTATGAGCTGGACTAGACAGCCACTGAGGTACTTTCCAACTCTCAGATTCTATGACTTTGTATCATGGTGGATAACTTAACTGGACGTCAGCATCAGAAGACACAGATCTAAATTCTACTAACATAGAAATTCACAATCTCTAAACTGGTTTCATCTTTTAAATAGAGTACTTGTAGTACCTACTTCACAGGGTTAGAGACTGAAATGAGATAAAAGTAGACAAAGCACTTTGCAAACTTAAGTACCATACACTAGTCATTAACATCTTTGTTGAAGTAGTACCCGTACTTCAAATTTTCTGAAATGCCACCTTTTCCTCTATGAACTATTCTGATCCAATCTGAAACTTAGGGATAAAGACCAGTGATTTCAATAGCATAGCCATCTCTCATGTGAGGAAAAGCCCTCTATTAGGGATGATCATTTTCTTTGCAAATTAAAGTCCTAAGAATTTGCCTAGAGCCTTAGGAGATTAAGTGATTTGTCTAGGGTCACACAGCTAGCATGTCACAGGCACAACTTGACCTTAGGCCTTCTTGACTCAAAAGCCAGCTGTTTATCCACTTGCACCATGTTGTCCCTAATCTTCCTACCAGAAATTTAGTTTTTCAGAATTCTCATAGAACTTGGTACCTCATGCCCTTCTCAATTTTGTTTTATAGTTACTTGTATCTATTTTTCCTCGTCTATTAGACTGCAAACTTCAGGCTAGGGAGTTTTCTTAATTATTGTCACCCAGAACAGTGCTTTGCACTAAGAAATTAAATACTGAATCTAATTCACTTTTAACTTATGTTCTTCTTAAAGACATCCTCATGAGCACATACATATATATGCCTAAGTGCCCGGTACGTATGGACAAGTGCTGTGCTTCTGGGATGGTTGGACAAGAGCCTGTGTACGCTTCTGGCGACCACATATCACTTCCTCTCTTAACCAAGGAATAGGGAGACCTTTCCGCACACATAATAAAACCTTGTTCTCATTAACTTAATTTTTTCAGACCCCCACAGCACTATTCTTGCACAGGAAAAATGGTCCTCCTCATCCATACATACCACCAGTCTATACAGTGGAAGGACCAAAAATAGGACCTTGCATCTCTGAAATATCACCCATTGAGCTACACATATATTCATACTTCCTAAAGTACATCCCTCCAAACTACTCCAGATTTTCCCCCATACTTGTTCACACCAGCACCTCCACTGCCTGTTCCTTTTACATGAATTTATTTCTATACAATATTCTAAAAACACCCCTTGTTTTGTACATGTTTTTCTCCCCCCTCCCCCATGTTTAAATTGCTTTATAACAACTGGTTTCCTGATTTGTTGCATCTTCTCTTCTCTGAAATTGGCCATGATTTTTTAAAAAGACAAAATGAAATGAAAATACCATGGTCAGAGATGAAAAAGGGAAAAGAAAAAAACAGAAAAAAAATACATGATAAAATAATGAAAAAAAATTGAAAATGAAAATTCTCAGAGATAATGCATTTATAAACAACAAAGAAACGGTTACAAAGATGGCCGTGGTAAGTGGGTGTATATATATATATATTTATATATATATATTTATATATAAATCCATGTCCCATTCAAATGGCCCCAATACCTCAGGGATCTAAGTCCAGTCCAAACTCTCCCTTTTCTATAGTCCCCTTTGCTTCGGGTTTCATAAAGAACACAAATGTCCTGAAACTCCTTGGGGCTAGCTGGCTCCCAAGGCTAAAGGATGGGAAAGCCTCTGAAAGCAAGGCTTTGGCCATGAGGGGAAAGGATTGGTTGGGGGACCAAAGAAAGACTGAGGAAGGGGAAGGAAAGGGACCAATACTCCAAGGAAAACTCCTCCCCTTTTTTTTTTAAACCATATGGGGAATCTTTGGCCCCTTGGGGACCACAGCCTCTGTCTCTTAGTAATCCAGAGATTCATACCAGGAGGTCTTAACTCCAGCCCCCTACCCTCCCGTACAAATCTCCCTCCTGTTGAGGCAGAGCAAAAGCAGAGGCCAAATTAGAGAACAAAATGAACTTGTCCTTCTGTATGTGAAAACAGGGCAAGGGGCTGGGTCTAGGGTTCCCTCCTTTCCAGTAGCTTGAAGAGGTCAACCTCTTGGTCTTTCCCTTTTTGCTGGGAATTAACCCAACTTTTGAAGTGGGAGGTATATGGAGGAAGATCTCAGGTTTGGCATATTTCAAGGAGGCCATAAGAAGGCCTCTTCCTTAAATACTCACCACCCCCTTCCCCGCTACAACTTTCATAGCCCTTTCACCATATGATTGTAGGGAATACAGTTGGGCCCCACTCAGCAACTCAGAGTTCCTTTTCAGATCCAAAGAGTTGTTGCTCTTTGAGCAAAGAGCTAGGAGCACAGTGGTGTCCTTTGAGGGAAGCTGAAGCCAAAGGCCCAAGAAAGTGGAGCCAACTCCTGCCACTTGCCAGGGGAGAACGGGAGTGGTAATAGGGGTGCAGGTTGGGGGGACAGAGATGGGACCTCTTCTCTTCCCTCAGTCAGAAGGAATCAAGTCTCTAGGAGCTGGCCAGGTGCTCCACCTGGATGGTGCTGGTGGTAACTGTGAGGCAAATGTCCTTATGGTGCTCAGCTGTCTTGTAGGAGGTCAGGTCAAAGGAACACTGGGGTGGGGGATTAGGATTGCTGTCCCCACCACCCCCACCTTGGGGGGCTGCCCCAGGGGGCTGGAAGTGCTGCTGCTGCTGCTGCTGTTGTTGTTGTTGTTGCTGCTGCTGCTGCTGTGAGGCCTGGGAAGCTTGAGCCTGAGCCTGAGCTTGGGCCACTGCTGCTGCTGCTGCAGCTGCTGCTGATACTGCTGATACCTGCTGCTGCTGGAGATCTGGAGCATTGTGTTTTCGCATGTGTTTCATCAGATATGTCTCCTAAGGGATTTCGTACAATGGTTATAAGAAAAAAGGAAGATACAGAATGTATATACAGCCTGGTTTCTTTTGGTTTTCAGGATACGTGCTTCATATTAAGATACCCCAGATCCATCATACAGAGTTGACAGCAAATTCTCTATCCACGTACCCACTAAGTCTGAATAGAGGCATAAAAGCAATTTCTTAATAAATCAGAATAAAACTTGAGAAGACATCTTGTCCACTTCCCTGACTTTAGAAGTTGGTATTTTTGTTTTTATAAAAGTAAACCAAGAAGCATTTATTAAATACTTACTATATGTCAGGCAGCTAGATGGCTCAGTGGATAGAACACTGGGCTTAGAGTCAGGAAAACCCTGAATTCAAATCCAGCCTCAGACAATTACTAGCTGTGTGACGCTGGGCAAGTCACTTAATCTCCATTTGCCTTAACTCACTGGAGAAGGAAATAGCAAACCACTCCAATATCTTTGCCAAGAAAACCCCATGGACAGTATGATCCCTAGGTCACAAAGAGTCAGATACAACTGAATAACAACAGTATGTCAGGCACTGTGAAAGCAGGATAGCCATCCCACAACTACTTTCTGGGACCTAATAATTCTTTCAGTAGATAATAATGTACATTTTTCTCCAATTCTGAAATGACGCTACAGGGGTCATTTTTTAAAAAGTGAGATGGAGAATTACTGTTCATCAACTATCACATAATCTGCTTCTCTCAAAGACTACTTTGTCTATTAAGACACTTCCACTGTAAATACAAAAATTTCCTTTCTTTGTAGGTCAGGACATCACTAAGGCAGAGTTATAGTCTTTTGGGGCTACAGAAGAGAAAGGAGGACTCACCGATGTGTATGCACGACTGCAGATTGAACAGGTATACACTTTAGCATGCTTCACTGTATGTGTGGACAGGTGTACCTCTAATGAGGCTGCATCTGTATATGCTCGATGACAGTTGTGGCACTTGAAGGGTTTGTCTTTGTTGTGCTGCCGTCTATGGGACTAGGTGAAGGGTGACAAACTAACATCAGTATTTGACACTCTGCTTTTACCAATCCCACCCAAGATACTAGAGAGACTACATTACCAAGCCCTTTCCCAAGTGAGGCATTCTCAGTGAGGAAAAACCTAGACTAAGGTGCCTGGTCTCTTTTAGGTACCACCTGAGCCCAGATAAAGTGGTTTATAATGGCGATTCAGGAAGCCACACATGATACACACTGGGATTCTTACAGTTACAATGCTAATGCTTAAATATAGTCTGGGCCTAAGGATGGGGTCTGTTCAAGTACTCCTATTGGTAGGGCAGTTACCTGCAAGTTGGAGAGTTGAGTAAAGGCTTTTTCACATCCCGGGTGTGCACATTTGTATGGTCTATCTCCAGTATGGATTCTGCAAGGGGAGAGAAAATCATAGAAGAAGAACAATTAACAATGTTACTCAAACACAGAAAGTAAGAACAAACAGTTCTTGGAGAATCAACTCTTTTCCAAATTCTCCTCTCCTTCCCTGTCCGTCGCAACCACTACTTATCATCAGGGAGCTTGGGTACACTCTTTACAGATCAGTACTGCTATTTCTTCCCAAGACCTAGGTAAGTTAAGTACCTATGCCTCCACAGGGCAGGCATTATATAACTTTCTATGCAGGTCAACCCTGATAGAAACTTCATCCAAAGAGCGCTCAGAGGCACATCTTAAGACGATAGTAAGAAAGGGACTTCCCACGTCCAACCTCCCCATTCCCCATATTATCCAGAAATCATGCCCTAAAGCCCTGAATGATACCAAGGAAGACTGTTGCAAAACCCAGAGTTATGTCAATCTTGGAGAGCTAGGCTGTTAATTCATGAAACAGACCCTAGGGCTCTATCTAGACAGGCAATGAAAGGCCAAGAAATGCCTAGCTTGTACTAACTAGACCATTTCATTCTTACACCATCATTCACCTACTGGGCATGAGCTGAAGAATCTTGAATGTTTGACAGCTGACATTCACTTTTGATCCAGAACTTAGAGACTATCCCTTCACCTAAATGCTTGTCAGCTCATCCAAATTATGGCAAAAAAAAAAAAAGCCACCATCATCATAGGACTTGTCATCTCCCATAATGGATACTTGAGGTTCTTTTCTCTTTCCAGAGTGAGAGGTATGAGCACCTACAAAAGTAGGAAGTTTACATCCATGGCAGGTCTGTCAAAGGCCCCATGGGGTGGGGTGGGGGAGGTGGAAGGTGGTCCCACAGTCAGATTTGAGAATCCATGATTACAAGACCTTCCTGATTGACAGGCTCTGTTCCTCCACTCTTTCCCATATTCACATTCAAAATGGCATATAATCATTAGGCACCCTTGTGAAGCTGATAAAGAAGCTGTTTCTCAGATGGCTGAAGATTCTTAGGCTTCTGTGATGTTCCAGTATTATGTTCCATTTGGGAACTGGGGTCATGGCTTTCTTCTGGTCTCCCTTGGAGTCTCACTGGCTGGACTGGGTTTCACTAGACTGGTATCTCACTACAGGAGCCACAATCTTGATCAGGAATCCTTTGCTTTGTGAAATGAAATGAGAGTCCCACAAAGTCAATGCCCTATGGAATGTTGATCTGGTTTCTTCCAATCAATTTCCACTGCAAGGGAAATATCTTGCAAAGTGTGTGCATGTATGTATATTTTAGGGGAGGGTACTGGGGGGAGGGGAGAAGTCGTCTCTGCTCCAAGTTTGTCTCCATCTCCCACATATCAGGGGTATGGCATAACAGCCATTGTATCTCCCTGGTACATCTCTGCCCCGCACAAACTCTCCTGGGACCCACTGATGTCTCCAGCGCTGTTACTCAGTCCTCTCTCTCTCTGTTCTGCCAGTGATGCTCTCCTCCAGTCAGGTCTCTCCCCTGCCCCCTGCATGCGGGTTGTTGTGTGTGTCCAGGGCGGGGGTGGGGAGGGCATGCCAGCGGGGGGGCGGTCGCCCGCCACTCTCCCTTACCGTGTGTGCTGCTGAAGGTGGGAGAGCTGGCGGAAGGCCTTCTGGCAGTAGGAACAGGTGTAAGGCTTGGCCCCCGAATGGATACGGAGGTGCTGGGCCAGGTAGGAGCTGTTGGCGAAGGTCTTGGAGCAGTGCGGGCACTTGTGGGGCTTGACAGTCTCCGTGTGCAGCTTGGAGTGGATCCTGCCGGAGAGGAGAGGGGGAGGGGGAAGGAGGAGGAGGAAGCAGTTCGACACCACGGGCTGAGCTTTCCACTGGGTGAAATGACGTTGCTTGACGGATGAAAAGTACTGCCCCCCTCCTCCCAAAGACACTCACAGACCTGACTAGAACTAAATGAAGAGAAGACCCGGTTCTAGATGGTTGCTTGATATAAGCTGGTGGCAAGAATGGTAGAGAAATGGTGAAGAGTTGCTATTCTTGGCTCCTGGTAACCCCGAAGTAGGAATCAGAGCTCATGGTACAGAGAATACTGGATTTGGAGTCAGAAGACCTGAGTTTGAATTTTGCCACTTAGTACTTTAGACAAGTAACTTAACCTCATCTGTAAAATGAGAGGAATGCACTAGATGACCTTTAGGGTTCCTTCAAGCTATCACTCTATAATCCTATGAATTCCTTGGTCCTCTATAAGATCACACACAACACAGCTCCCAGGGACACCCTCTTCAAAGGCAGTAATTTACACACACAGAACAAACACCTGATAATTCATAAGGCCAAAAGACAGATCCAGTATCTTTTCATACCTGGCTCTGAATCTAGGCATAAAGCAAAAGCAGGCACTGCTCTGTAGAAAAGCTACACACACATAGGCACAAACCATGACATCAATACAGACTCTGTAACAGGATCCCAGAATTTCCCATGTCCCCTAAAACTGCTAAGAATCCCTCACAGAGAACACAAGGGAGGCAAGGTTCTCGTAGAGTAAACCAGAGAAACACAGAGAATGAAGAGCTCATCTAGGAGGAAGGATAGGCAGTAGACTGCGTATGGGCATAGTGAAGATAAAGGGATGGACGGTTAGGGCTGCCTGCCTTACCGTGTGTGCTGCTGGAGGTGAGAGAGCTGGCGGAAGGCCTTCTGGCAGTAGGAACAGGTGTAGGGCTTGGCCCCTGAATGAATACGGATGTGCTGTGCCAAGTAGGAACTGTTGGCGAAGGTCTTGGAACAGTGCGGGCACTTGTGGGGCTTGGTCTCTGTGTGTGACTTGGAGTGGATTTGCATCTCCGACTTGGAATAGAAGGTCAGCGAACACATCCGGCACCTGGGCCCAGCCAGGGCAACAAATTAGACATGTCCCCTCACCAAAACAGATAACTCCATACCCTCCTCCCATGCTGAGACCAGCCCTAATTGAGAAGTTCAACCATATGAGACATGACATGTATTTCTTCTGATCCTCTTAGATTCTGAATTTCTTTCTCCTCCCCCTGTGGAATCCCCCAACTGTAAACTGGGAAAAGCACCCCATGCACTCCTCCATTCCCCAGGGAGACAATGAAGAGTTGGATTCCTAAAAAGGGACCTTCCTTCTTCTTAGGAAACTTTGTTTCAGCATCAATTTTATTTTCCCCCCATCTCAAGTAACTTCTCTAAACCTTTCCTTTTCCCAAAGTATATGGAGGTAATACCAGTCTATCAGGCTGAAGAAAGTGTCACCCCACCTGGATCCACTTTTATTCACTATCTAACTGAGATAAAAGTCCTCTTTCTTGCTCTGTTGTGCCATCAACTAGAACAGGGTTATATGAAAAGTCTTCAGCCATATTAGTTTAGATTTGGCCTTTGGGCAAGGGCTATGTCAGCTGGAACTCACTTGTTTTACCTTAACAATTCAAGAAAGGGCAACATAGCCTAAAAAGAGAGTAACAGAATGAAAGCCAAAAGACTTGTACAAGTTCCTTTTCTGAGCCTCAGCTTCTACTCTTTTCCTCTTTCTGTACAATGTGAGAATGATCACTGCCATCTCCCTCCCTTAAGTACATTTTAAGAGCAATCTATCAAGGGTTCTAAGCGCCTCACAAGGGAGTATCATGAACGTTAGCTTTTAGCTTAAATATAGACCTCTCCTCTCCTTACACAAGCTTTTACTTAAATTCTAGTACTTTAGTCCAATCCCCCTTTGCCAATTCTAAGGGGTAAAAAAAGGACAGGGAGAGGAGGAAATGTACTTTTCAAAAAGGAATAATGGTGAACAGACCCTTGATGTAGTCAAGAGTCCTGGGTTCTAACTCTGGGATGCTATAGGCTCGCTCACTTCTCTACACATCATTTTTCTGATGAGAAGGTTAATATCTACTGCCTAGAGGTACACAATAAAAACACTCTGGGCTTTCTCAATACAAAGTGTCAAACAACACCAAAGATTGAATTCATTATATTAACGAAAGCAGTGCCAGCAATAAGACAGTTTTGCTATTTATTTCACACTGTTCAACATTCTAATTTGAAGGGTCCAACATTACTCTCTATTGATGACATTTTTTTCTAAGAGATAGAGGAGTGCCTCAATTCTGAATCTATGCTAAAATCTCACCAGGTTTTTCTGATTAGTTTTTAGAGTAAACACACCAACCATATCCCCAATGTTGGTGTTATTAAAAAGACAATTCATTTCAATGCAGTTTTCTGGTACAGAAAATGTTGGAAACCTTAAAGTCAATGCTAAAGGCAAAGACCACTATTTTAGTACAACAAAATTTGGTTTCTTGGATATAAACTTGATTTTATAAAAAAGATGAGACAGAAAGGTGTGTGTGTGTGTGTGTGTGTGTGTGTATACACACACACACACACACACACACACACACACACACGCATATATATATATATATACATTCTCAGAAATGCAACTCTTACTCTCATATAATCTGTCCCCTTAAGGCAGAGCTGTCAAACTCCTGACACTCAAAACTCCTCAGTGTGGCCAGAACCAGATTAAAATTAACTGGAATTATGTTCAACAAAATAAAAATACAACATAGATAATATTAATTTGTGGTTTTTCCAATGCTTCTATTTGAGTTTGACACCAGTGCTCTAAGGAACTCAAGGTACTGTCCCTTACCCCCCATTTTACATTCTGAGCAAACCAAAGCCTTGAGATATTAGGTGAATTACCCAAGGTCACATAGCAAGCCAGACTGGAGCTAGGTCTTTTGTTTTACCAATATCCATGAGAGTTTGTTCTTTGATATGGCAAGTCTGTTGCTACTTAGATAGGGTCCCCTTTACTATAAGGAAGACTCAAACAGTTCATAATTCTCTGTTTCTGTAGGAATTCCTTATTACCTTGAATAGGTTCAATTCTGCTCACACCACCTTTCTTATAGTACAGAGATTCTCTCACAATGGCCAGCTAATCCTGGCCCCAGAAAAATCAGTGCCCCCCAATCAGGAGATAACGAATCCTGTCATTTCCCTATGCTGGTACAAGAGTCAACTCTATGGCAGATTAGAGATAACATCAGCAGAGGTGTGCAGAGGTAGAGTACCTTAAACTGTCTAAAAAAGTTAAAAGAGTTCTGACGTTAGAACTGGAAAGGACCTTTCTTTCTTTCTTCTTTTGTTTTTTTTTGGTGAGGCAATCAGAGTTAAGTGACTTGCCCAGGGTCACATAGTCAGTAAGTGCCAAGTGTCTGAGGCCAGATTTGAACTCAGGTCCTCCTGACTCCAAGGCTGCAGCTCTATCCACTGTGCCACCTAGCTGCCCTGTGGAAAGGACCTTAAAGATGGTCCAACTTCTTCATTTTACAGATGAGGAAACTTGGGTCCAGAGAGGTCAAGAGACTTAAGGTCATACAGCTAGTCAGGATAAGCGCTGAGACTATGGTGTATGTGACATTCTAGCAAAACACCACCACCCTAAACTAAACTTTTGATAGAGATGAATCTTCTATGTCAAAATGACTATCCCCATGAGACTACTGTATTTAGAAGGTGGTACCTTGCTTTAATTAATCCAATGTGTATCCAGATTTACACAAAACAATTAGAGAGTGGTTATTCATTTTTACAAAAGGATTTACATTGATTCCTTTTAGAAATAAGCTTGAGTGCATTAAAAATGATAGAATTTACAAAAAAAAAACTGAGTCACAACCTTGCAAGAATACATTTGTGTGTAAAATGAGGTAGGAGGCTGGAGAACTGATACATAATATTTTGGAACGATAAAGTCCCCAGTAACACTTTCCCAGGTAGAGGAAAAGGCACTCAGGAAGAATGACCACTCTCCACGGTGAAGTTGTATAGACTAGATAAATAAATACTATCAATCACTATTTCTCATCCCTTTCTTCTGAGCTCTAATCATTTTACAAAATATTACCTAGATAAATACTCCTAATACCACTAGAAGGGAGGCGTAAAACAGAATTCTCTCCATTTTACAAATGAGGAAACTGAGGCCCAGAGAGGGGAAAAGGACTTGCCCAGGGTCACACAGCAAGTTGGTGGTGGAGCCTGAATCCATGAGCCCAGGGCTCTGTCCATTTCCTGTGCCGCAGTTTCCCTGGCTCCTAAAATGGGAACAACATTGCCCATCTGGGTATATTAAGGAGAGAAACCAGTCTCCCATTCAGACATGTCTGCTTCTGTCCAAGACTATGCTTTGAGGTTATGCCCATTTTGTACATGAGGGTCAAAGCTCCCCCAAACCACAGGAGCTTTTTTCAGCTTGTGGATCATGGGTTTCCAGAGGGTAAGGACTATCTTTACTACTCTCTTTGTCTAGTATACCACATGCAAACAAGTACTATTTGATGATGGGCAACTCTGGAAAAGACAGGATCAGAAAGTCTGATCTGGTCTATGTTAATGAGTCACTGAGCAAACATCTACATTGACTATATATGGCTTTTTAAAAGGCAGGGAAGAGAAAAGGGAGAATGAGCTATTTTCTTTCTTTTTTTTCTTCTATGTAGGCCCCTACCATCATCCCAACTATGTGGGGGCAAGAAGGTACAGGGATCAAACAGGCATTATAGCCACAAGGAGGAATGTAGGCTGGGTCAATAATTGTCAGAAAGATATCCTGGAAAAGCAGGGATGGAAAATTCATGCCTCAAAATATATCTGGGGACAGTCAGGGGATCCCAAGTTGGGAATCAGACCTCTGAAGAATGAGAGGAGAATGAGAGGCAAACTCCAAAAATACCTGCAGAATTTTCCCTATTTCACTCTATGACCCCAAACAAATCACTGCTAAGACACTGCAATGTAGGGACAACAGAAAGGAGAGGTAAAGTGGGGACAAAGTAATGAGGAAGTCATGTACCTTCCCCCCCCCCCCACCCCTGGTCCCCCTCACCCTCCTACCCAAAAACATCCCTGACATGCAACTGGGTTTGACATGAAAGAGTCACCCAACAGAGTCCTGATTTGAAGCAGGACCCAAAATGGGAGTGGCTGAAATAGTGATCCTCACCCCATCCGGCCCCCTGGCTCTGCCCCCCACCTGTAGGTCTTGCCATCCTTCTGATGGTCTTCGTCATCCTCAGGGGAGAGCACATAAGGGTCATTCATCTCAGGCAGCCCTGATTCCTGCATCCTCTTCTTCTTTCGGCCCCGGGGAGGCTTGGAAGCCACAGTGCCACCACCCCCACCACCCCCACCTCCCCCGCCCCCTTCTTCTGCCAGAGCTGATGCCACCTTCTTGGAGAGGTCAGGGACCACCTGCAGGGCTTGGGAGCCAGGGGGAAGGGCTGACACAATCATGGGAGCTGAGATGGGGAAGGTCTGAGCTGAGGAGGCTGTAGTCACTAGAGAGCCTGAGGGGGATGTGATCACCAAGCCTGGACCTAGGAGTAAAAGAAAGATGGAGTTATCATTTCTTAGCCCTGGTACCTTACCTTATTTCATTTTAAGTCATCAGAGAATCACAGAATCACTTTACTGAATTGAACTGCCCCGCTCAGCCCAGTGTTTGCAAACCCTAAATCCCACAGTAAAAAGTCTCTTACTTTAGGTTCCCATTGCTACCCTACCTCCTACCTGATAACACTGAAATATCCCCTGATTGGAATCCTTTCTGTTCTCAACTTAAAATAACAGTATAATGCTGAACACACCAGGGACCCCTAATAACAGGATTTCTGAGAAATAACATACAGATCCCATTCCACCCAGTAACATCTGAACCATCCCATCTTGTAATCCTGACCATGGATTTTCAACACCTCAGACAGCTTAGGGAGGAGTAAGTGGAATTACTCACCAGCAGTCATCAGTCCCGTGGATGGCACAGGCACCACAGTGATGTTCTGAGTGACTGAAGCCTGGCTATGTGGTGTCAGTTGATCTGGCTTGGTATCGGCATCCATGCTGATGCCTGATGGCAGGGGTACTGAGGCAGGCACCGTTAGCAGGGTTGGATAGTGAGGTGGAGCCAGACCACAGCCTTTCTCTGGTAGCAGCTGATCCTTCATCTTGTTGATGAACATCGTGTTTTCTATCTAAAGGAAGAAAAATCTGTTATCAGAAAGGGGCAAAGATTATTTTCTTCCTTTCTTCATAGTTTCTCCCTCTTTAACATATAATGGAGATGAGAAAACTAAGTAGATGCCCCTGTTCTTCTAAAGGGAGTCTAGAAGGGAAAAGGTCACCTCTAACTTAAACTCAATTCAGTAACAGGAGATACTTTGTGAGGACAGTAACTGATTAGTCTGGTTCCTTGCCCAGCAGTTAAGTGGTAGATAGAAACAGTGGTATACCACTATTTAAAGCTGAACAATAATAAAAATACTACCTTGTATTTGCATAGTGCTCTAAAGTTTTCAAAACACTTTTATGCAAATTTTCTCTGCTGAGCCTTACACAATTCTGTGAGGTAAGCAGACACTACTCTTCTCATTTTGCAGATGGAGAAATGAAGGCTCACAAAAGTGACCTGCCCAAGTATACTTGGCTCCTAAGTGGCAGAATAAAGACCTGACCTCTGGAGTCCACTACCCCCTCTATTATACTACATATGTGTGGGGTGAAAAAGAAGTTAGTATAACCTACCTGTCCTGAGACTGTGGGAACTGCTGGCCAGAAGTACGGGGAAGAATTGAAGTGAGATTCTTCCATTCTACCTGCAGGGAGAGAGAGGATAAATTATGATCATAAAGACAATGTGAAAAGTCATTGTGGAAAGGAAAGGCAGCATGTAAGGCTCCTGGCACCCTCCTCTGAGGGGCAGACCTTAGCATCTGATTCTTGGTGGATATATCCTACAGTGGTATCCTAAGGCTAAATGTAGGTACTTTCACAACTGTAGTGATGAATGAGTTAATAATACTAAAAGATTCCACACCTATCTCATTCACTCTCCTTTTCCAATACAAAGAAAGTTAGTATTACTTTCCCTTTATGAAAGAAAGAGAAACTGAGCCCTAGAAAAGGGAAAGAATAGGCCCTTAGTCACACACTAAGTGGCAAAGCTGAGAATAACAATGAGAAAGTCTTGCCTTTTTCTTCAATTTCTTATTGCCTCATACTCCTTTTCCTAGGATAAACAAGTCAAGTTTTCCAATCTTCCTGTTCATAGTTTTCTTTATAGATTCTGAAATGATTCTGGGATAAAATTGAAAATTTTAAGAAAATGACAGAATGGAAATGCCAGAAGGAATCAAAATCAATATTGATTTATTAAAATTCTAGCTGCTATCCATGGAGTAGTGAGATACAACTCTGCCCCACATCACCAACAGGATCAAAGATGTACTGAAAAAAAAAAAAGATGTATACAGTTAGAAAAGACCTCAGAGGTCATCTAGGGCAATGCCCTCATTTTATAGATAGGAAATTAAGGCTCAAAGAGGTTAGTTGTTAGTACTCTTAAAACTGGGAGAGCTGAGATAGCCGGATGAGGTTTACCCAAGTTTGGTTTGGGATTGGCCAAAGAAACATGGCTTCAGGAAATGACTAAGGAAGCTGGGAAAGATATTCAAGAATGCAGCATGGAAAGAACAGTGAAATCTCCCCTAAATGCATCTCAGTCACCTTAAAAGTTAAGTTTCTCATTCTACTTCATGGAGCTTATTTATAAGCTCTTTTCCTGGCTATACTAAAAAAGATTTCCAATTCTTACAAAAGGTAAGGCAACATCCAATTTGCTCTCCTTCCTTGTAATAAGAGATCTTCTGCTAGAAAATAGAAGAGGGGAATGCAACAAACCCCTGAAGACAGTAGAATTTTTTGGGTTTTTTTTTAAGTGACTTAAACTTAAAAGTTAAGTATCTCCTGAAAAATAATTAAATTTAATATAGGTAAGTATTAATTCTATATCTCCTAAATTGAACTAGCACATCACTTTTAACAACCAACCACACTAACATTCAAGCCAAATGAAAGAAAACCAATCCCAACTAGCTTTTGAGAGCAGGAGCTATGCATATTCTACTTCTTTTGGCCCCCCCAACCTACCATCTACTCCAACATCACCTAGCATGGTATTTTTTTAAAATTAAATTAACAAAACTCTGTATTTTCTCCTTCTCAACCCCCCCCATCTTTATCTACACTGAAAAAGAAAGGAAAAAATCATTTTAACAAATATGTACATTCAAGTAAAACATATCACCACAATGGCCATGCTAAAAAAAAAAAATTCTGTCTCAATTTGCAGTCTATCACCTGTCTGCCAAGAGCTTCATCATAAGTCTTCTGGATTCATGATTGGTCATTGTAGTGCTGTGAGTTTTTAAGTCCTTCAAAGTTGTTTGTCTTTACAATATTATTGTTACTGTATAACTTGTTCTTCCGGCTCCATTCACTTCACTTTCTATCAGTTCATACAAGTCTTCTCAGGTTTCTCTGAAACTATTCCCCTTTCATCATTAACTTGTAGCACAAGAGTATTCCATTATATTCACATACCATAACTTGTTCAGCTATACCCTAATTGGTCACCTCCTCAGTTTCCAGTTCTTTGCCAACACAAAAAGATGCTATGAGTATTTTTTTACATAGGCATCCTTTCCTGCCCCCCCTTTTAAGAAAATTTTAATTTATGAAAATAAAACAAGCATTTCCATAACATCATACAGTAAAAAAAGATGATTTGCATGAAACTGAAAATCTACTACACACAACTTGCTATTCCCTTCAAATATACAACAAAATTATTATGTAAATTTATTTTGTCCCATCCCCCCACATGCCATGGCTACCATTAGACACAAATAGGCATATATATATATATATGTGTAAAATTCTCCTATACATATTTTCTCTGGATACAGATAGCATCTTTCTTCATATGTCCTCTATAGTTAAACAGGGTATTTATAATAGTCAAAATAACTTATTTGCTCAAAAAGTCTTTCTTAAAATAATATTGCTGTTACTGTATACAATGTTCTTCTGGTTCTGCTCATTTTGCTTTTCATTGTTTCATGCAAGTCTTTTCCATGTTTTCCTAAAATCACTGAGTTCATCATTTCTTACAGCACAGTAGTATTCCATCACAATTATATACCACAACTTGTTCAGCCATTCCTCAATTCATGGGCATCCCTGCAATTTCCATTCTTTGCCACCACAAAGAGAGCTGTTATAAACATTTCAGAACATGTTAAGTTCTTCTCCTTTTCCCCAATCATCTTTGGAAATAGACCAAGTAATGGTATTACTAGGTTGAAGGTTAATAACTCTTTGGGCATAATTCCAGATTGCCCTCCAAAATGGTTGGATCAGTTCACAATTCCACTAACAATGAATTAGTGTCCCAATTTTTCTAAATCCCCTTCAAGATTTGTCATTTTCCCCTTCTATCATGTTAGCCAATTTGATAAGGTGTAAAATGATATCTCAAGGTTGTTTTAATTTGCATTTCTCTAATCAACGACGATTTAGAGCATTTTTTCATATGGCTATAAATTATTTCGATTTCTTCACTGGAAAACTGCCTGTTTTGACCATTTATCAATTGGGAAATAACTTATATTCTTATAGATTTGACAAAGTTCTTTATATATATATCTTAGATATGAGACCTTTATTTGGTTAACTGTCTATAAATCCCCCCTCCCCAATTTTCTGCTTTCCTTCTTATCTTGGCCACATTTATTTGTACAAAAACATTTTAATGTAATTGAAGTTATCCATTCGATACCTAACTTCGCTTTCTGTCTCTTGTTTATTCATAAATTGTTCACTTATCCTCAAGTCTGATAAAGCTCTCTGCTTCCATTTAAAAAAATCTTTATAGGGTACAAATCTAGAAGTGGTGTCACTGGTTCAAAGGGTATGCAGTTTATAATTTGTGAAGCATACCTCCAAATTGCTTTCCAGAATGACTAGACCAGTTAATAGCTCCACCACCAGCTCCTCCAGCACTTGTCATTTTTTTTTGTCAGCTTTACCAATTTGATGGGTGTAAAGTGGAATCTCAGAGTGTTTTAATTTGTATTTCTCTAATTATTAGTGAAATAGAGCATTTTTTCCAAATGGCTACTTTAACCACTTGGTTTTCTTCCTCTAAAAAAATGCCTATTCATATCCTTTAATTCTTACCAACTGGGAATGGTTCTTATACTTATTTTGTTGGGTGTTTTTTTTTTTGCTTTCAATTTTGTTATGCTCTTCTTTGATTTTGGGGATTTCTATTTTAGTATTTTATTGGTTTTTAAAATTTGTTGGTTTTTCTAGTTTTTTTTTTAGTTGCATGCCCAATTCATTGATTAATTCTTTCTATTATTAATGAAAGTGCTTAGAGATATAAAATTTCCCTTAAGGCCAGATTTGGCTGCATCTCAAAAATTTTGGTATATTGTCTCATTGTTGTCATCTTTAATGAAATTATGTCATTTCTATTTGTTCTCTGACCTATCCATTCTTGAGGATTAAGTTATTTAATTTCCAATTCATTTTTAATAATTTCTTTAGTGACCCTTTAATGAATATAATTTTTGTTTTATTGTGAAAGATGAGTTTAATATTTCTTTTTTGTGTCTGAGAGATTTTTATGTCCTAATACATGGTTAATTTTTATAAAGGTGCCATGCACAGCTGAGAAATGTGCTTTCTATTCCCACTCCACAATCTCCAGAGGTATATGATATATGACTTTTCTAAAATTCTATTCAGGTCCTTAACTTTATTTTAAGAAAAACTTCAATCTATTTAGGTCCAGGAGAGTTACATTACAGTTTTATTATCTATTTTCCCCTATAACTCATCTAACTTATCCTTCAAATATGCTATGCCATTCAGTGCATATGTTTAGTACCAATATTAATTCATCAATATTATCTTTCAGCAAAATGTAGTTTTTGTTTTAACTAAATCTATTATTGTTGTTGCACTGAGATTATAATTGCTTTTTTAAAAATCTTGCTGAGGCATAATAGATTTTGCTCCAGCTACTTATTTTAACTCTATGTGAATTTTTATATTTCAAGTCTATTTCTGGTAAAGAACATATTGTTGGATTCTACTTTCCTATCCATTCTACTATCCTTTTCCCATCTTATGGGTAAATTTATTCCATGCATACTCACCATTATGATCCCTAATTGTGTATTTCCTTCTATCCTGTTCTTGTATGCTTTTCATTCTTTGTCCCCTCCTCCATCCTCTAAAGAAGGTTGGGAGAAAGGAGTATGCTCAGCACCACTGCTCTAGGTTTGATAAAATCTGTTTCTGCTCCCCCCTCTTCTCTTTCAGGACCCAATCAAAGATTGTCATTCTTCCTTTCCCTACTTTCAAATCTCTGGGATCCACCCTCCTATATGTAGCTAGAGATCATTTGTGTGTACTTTTCCTCCTTTTGACTAGTTCAGAGGGTGAGATTCAAATGACATCTGCTCTTCCTCCAATCCTTCCTCTTTGTTTGCAGATTTTTATTTGCCTACCTTTTTATGTCAGATAATCTTCCCCACTTTCCTCCCTCCAACCTTGTCCTCAATTCCTTTTCCCTTCACTTTCTTTTTTTAGGATCATCAAAATATAATAAAGCCATTAAACTGCCCTCCATCTTAATAGACTGCATGAGCCCTGATGACACTTAGAACATAAACAGTTTATCCTTCAGTCCTTATGACTGTTAGATTATGTTTACCTTCCTGTGTTTCTTTTGATGACTGTGTTT